ACTGGCATGGATTGCCCAGAGGAGCTGTGGATGCCACATCCCTGGAGGTGTCCAAGGCCAGGCTGGACGAGGCTTTGAGCAACCTGATCTAGTGGAAGGTGTCCCTGCCCATGGCTGGGGGCTTGGAACTAGATCTTTAAGGTCACTTCCAACCCAAACCATTCTACGATTGTATAATTTTACACAAGCAGGAGCTGGTATACAAACTCATATCAGTGAGGAGCCACTGTTGATGGGCCTGTATCAAACACGTTTCATGAGATACTTCGTGCTCAGATTTGTCAGTTTCTTTTTTTTTCATTTGAAAAAACTCTTTCAGATGGACCCTGCTGTGATACTTCCGTAATGCTAAGGCACTTGCATAATCTCAGCGTTGCTGCCTCAGCCCCCCAGAATGCATTAGACAGCTCAGTAGGGACTGTTCCAGATTTTGTAACCATTCTGGCCAAAAGGAAGTGCTGGAGTCTGTGATTTCATGGACCTTCCAGCCTCAGTCTTCTTCAGTGGTCACTGAACAAAAGATGAGGCTGAGTGCCATTTTTGCTTCTCAGAGGGACAGACGGAGAATAAAATGTATTGTTGTGTTCATGTCTTCACAGGTGAAGTTGAGAATGGGAGCAGGTAAATTGTGTCTCAGTGAAAAGGCAGGGGAGGACAGAAATAAGTATTGTAATCAGAAGAGGAGATGCTGAGATGTGTCTTTTTCCCTTATAAATCTGGATAACTAACATGTTGTGTTGCATAATATTGAACTGCCTTAGTGAAAACTTTATATCAGAATTTGATTAAAATGACTGTATATGACCAGGTTTTAGATTCAATACTGATTGACTTGAGGGGAGACGTTGGGTGGAGATGATGAAAAGCACAGCAGGTGAAAATGACGATTAACTAATACGCTTTTAGTGTGAGAAATGTGTAAGATAAGTAGAAAAAGAATGTCTGATAGTCCCTTCCCTCAATTTTTTTTTCCAAATCAAAGTATTTGACATCATCTTTGTTTTAGTTTCCACAAATAAAAGCTGAGTGTGACAGTTAATGTATAACACTACTGATAAATATCCATACACCTTTAAACAAGAGGATGAAGGGAATGGTTAAATTGAGGATGTCAAACTGTGGTCTGCAGCTAATATGCAGAGTCATAGTTAGCATTAGCAGTCCTGAGCTTCCCATCTGTGTACAGCGGTAGGACGTCAGAAAATCTGACGTTCAAAACAATCTGAAAGATTCTGTGTTAAAAATTAGATAATTGAATGAATGAAGTTAGTTCATTCAATTACTAGCTGAAATGATCAGTGACTCACTGACAGCTGCCATTAGGAACTTAAGAGGACTTCTATGGTCCTGAAAATCTGGAAGAGACTTAGCACTTGGTTCACCTTTTTCTACAAATAGAGGTGTCAGCTTATGCAGATGTCGAATAATCAAATTTATTTATGAATCAGAGTTTAGACACCGAATAGATAGTAAGGTGATCGTTAGCTTTTTGTTTGATAAGATAACTTCCAAAACGGATCATAACTTTAAAAGAAAAAATTCAATCAATTCAATTACAATCCATATGATGATGGCCAGATAATAGGAAAGAAATTTCCAGCTAAAGGTTACTTTGGAAAACTTTGCCTATGGCTTCTATGGTTTTATGAGCATGTACTCAGACAAACATGCCTGTAGTAGTTTAGCTGTGCTTACCTTGCCACATAAGAGGGGGCAGGGGTAGGTCTCCTGTGGGGAACCTTTCAGCACTGCATTTTTCTGCTTGTTGCAGAACTGTTTTTCTTCCTTGAGGAAAATTAGTAGGGAGAACAAAACTGGAAGCTTGCTTTGAAGGTTTTGAAGGCTTTCTGACTTGACTGGTAACTGGAGCCATATGCATAAAAAGAGAATAAGTATTCTCCTGAGAACCTAAGCCGGCCTGCTGTTCAGTTTACATTGACGCCAGCTTCTATACTTGTTTTACTCAAAATGAGTGACTGAATTCTCATTGTCTTCAGTACTGTTGCTTGGAAGTCTTAGTTCTGGCCTTTGGCTTGCACCTCCATGTATGTTTTATGTATGTGTGCGGGATTATTTACCTGCAGCATAGGTGTCTAAAAAGCATATGCAGGAACATCATACTAGGGGAATTGTCAGTAAATCATAGCAAAATCATTGTTCTCTTTTAGAAGAGACACTGTATCATTTGTTGGAAAAGGACAACAGCAGAACCAGCTTAGTTTTCAAAATGTGATTTTGTCTTTGTTAAGAGAAAATGTTTTAGCTTTATTTTTTTTTTCTTCTTTCCCCTCTCGCTGGTAATTCTGATTGTTACCAGGATTCCTTCTACATATACACTTAATACTTTGAGGAGTTACAAGCTCCATTGCTGAAGGCAACAGCAACCTATAAGGAAAGGCTGAAGTAATAGAGGTTGCTTCACGCCATAGGTTGCTGAGGAAAGTCACAAGAGGTCTTTAAGCATTGCTGCATAGAAAAAAAGGAGTATACTTTTACTGATTTCCGTGATCGTAGGACCAGCAGTGATGGCTTTATACGTCTGCAACAGCAATAGAGGCAAGACATTAGCAAAAAAGAACAAAGCAAGGCAAATGAAGAATTAAAACAGATTTCCAAGGCAAGGTACATAATCTTAATGGCT